ACAGAAAGGAATAAAATTTAACTAAGAATTTAGATCTACTTGCGCTGTTTATGAGAGCTGTATGCTTTCATCCCAAAAAAGTTGCTATAAAAGAGGATGTTTATAAAAGATAGTAGTTATTGGTCACAGAGAAGCACAAAGTGGGTGACTTGCAGTGAAAACTGATAACATTCCTTATGATACTGCCTATGGCAGCTTAAGAAAATGTCTGTTACCCAGCAAACGTCAAAGCAGAGATATGCAGTTTCTCCATGACAGATTTTTCTCTTTTAGAAAGTTTCAGAGACAAAGCATTCAGTCTCTTGTAGGACAGGGGTGTTACTTGCTGCATATACGAGTCCAGTGGTGACAATTTTCAGGCAGCAGAGCACCTGAACCCTCGTGAAGTCTTTGTCACTTGCCCATGGCAAGCAACTGGTTATGCAGCCTCCACAGACAGGGACTATCAAGGGAGATTGGTAAAAGAGACGCTGAGCTTTTTTCAAAAAGCAGGTTTGCCCTCCAAAAAAAAGCAAATTGCAGTAATAATGCTTATTGGTTATAGGCATACAATAATGCCTGTGTTGCAGTGTAACTGCAAGGCAGCTCCTCCTTAATGCATCAGAGCCTCCTTAATATATGAGAGGTGTGGTCCAGCCGGCAGGTAAAGGAACAAGAGAGAAATTACAAAATTCTACATTTTAAATAGCATCTCCAGTCTCTCAGCCACCGCAAAAGAAGTGCTTGCCTAAACAAACAAAATTCTGAAGTTGAACAAAGTTTTGTCAACTCACTGCATTGTATTTTTCAAACTGAAAGGACCCCTGCTGCTTTTCAAATATCAGATTCGAGTTTTGTCATTTTAATGCTTCACTTGGCTATTTTCAAACTGTTCTTTTCTTGCAGAAACACTAATAAAATATCAAGTTAAATTTTAGTATAAATAAAATAATGAATAAATATCACAAAAATCCAGCAGACCCAGGTTTGAGAGACAAATTTCAACAGCATTTCAAAAAAAAAAAAAAAAAAAAAAAAAAAAAAAAAAAAAAAAAAAAAAAAAAAAAAAAAAAAAAAAAAAAAAAAAAAAAAAAAAAAAAAAAAAAAAAAAAAAAAAAAAAAAAACAAACCACAAAAAACCCCACAAAAATCAACCAACAAACAAACAAAACAACAACAACAAAAAACCCCAAACCCACAAAAAAACACCCAAAACAAAACAAAAAAACCCAGCTTAATGGGCACAGTGAAAATGTGCCTGCTTAGAGTTTATTCCCATCAATTTTGGATTTTTCCTCCTGTCATGTAGATAACAGCCGTGTGTGTGTTGCATTAAGAGTATAGAAATTTAGCATGAAAATAAACCCCCTTGTGCTCCAGCTGCTCCTCAGAGATCAGAGGGGCTGGATGAGGCTGCGCTTAATTTCTGATTATAGCCAATTTGGCACTGTAAGTCTGTTCCTTTTCAGTAGGAACTTCCACAAGCACAGATTCAGGAATACTGAAGTTTCAACATGGTAGGTCTGGCCATGTTCATTGGATCTTGTGCAATCACAGATGCACAACTAATGTGGTTTATTGAAGCAACAGAAATACAGATTTGGAATTGCATTTGCTGCAATAGAGTTCCAATAATAACAATAATATCATGTTAAGCCAGGTAATAATAATTGTATACAGAAGCTTGCCAAGAAGGCATCCCTGCTTGGGAGGAGGAACAGGAGAGGACAGTAGCCCATCGACTGTCTCGAAGGTCCTTCTGGGTCTTCCCCCTAACTAGGTGATATTTCTACCCTGGTTATACACAGCCCAGTCCTATACTCTTCCTCCTGCTTATGTATAGCATGATCTAAGGGGGGAATTGAGTAATACCGTCATATATGTGGTAGCAAGTACTTCATTGAGCTTATTAGCATATACTGAGTTTTCATTTTAATATTTAAGTGGACCTTAATTAGAAAAGTTTCTTTTTTTGGCAATGGTGTCCTTCAACATTCTGGTAATATGACTTCGTTCTATCCTGTGCTGTTTGTCTAAAAAGGACCATTCTATCTCCACAGGACCTCCTCCTTCAGCCTTTCTTCACATCAGCCATGCAGACCTCCCCCCACAAAGATAACATAAAGGGTACACAGTGTAAGCTGCAAACAGTAAGCCTTAACTCTTGCTTGGTTCCTTGGTCATTATCCCACAGTATGATGTCATCATGCCTGAAGAGTTACTTTGATTATTTCTGGAAAGCAGAATTATTTCAAAGTAAAACCTCTGCTTCCAACCTGATATGTGTCACCTTTGTAGCCCTGATAAGGCTTTTCAGTGGAGAGGTGAGCCTACTAAGGTCTCGCAAAAGACTTCTGCTATGCACAGGTGCTGGGACTCGCCTTGGGAGCAGAAGTCCTAATTGAAAAACTTTATTAATAAGCCTGGTGCAGAAACAATAGAGAGCAGTAAAGATTTCCATGTAAAATAGGTGTACCCTGCTAAGGCTGACAGTGCCATCCAGGTGGAAGAGGTCTCTTTCCCTTTATTTAAAGGTTTCATTTGCTTGGCCTGAAAGTGGTAATAATTTTTTTCCTTCAATCTTTTTTTTTCTCTCACTTTAGAAAAGTTGAAAGAAAAATCTTTTCAGCCTTCAGTCAACAAAACCACTATGGCAAATTCTTTCTTCTGGAGTTAGCTATTGAGATGTAATTGCCCTGGCAATTGATAGTCTGAGCAATGTCATGATTTCATGATCTCACAGCATCTATGCTCT